CAAATTGCAGTATCTGGGTAATTTGAGAAGAGCCCAGTAATAGCAATAGCACTTATATACCGCTTCACAGTGCTTTCCAGCCCTCTCTAAGCGGTTTACACAGTCAGCATATTGTCACCAATAATCTGGGTCCTCATTTTACCGACCTTGGAAGGATGGAAGGCTGAGTCAACCTTGAGCCGGTCATGATCGAATTCCAGGCTTTGGGCAGTGAGTTAGCCCTGCAGTACTGTATTTTAACCACTGTACCACCACATATAATGCCAACCATTTACTGTATTTTTCAGAGTATCAGACGCTCCGGACTATAAGATGCACCTACCTTTTTGGGGGAGGAAAACAAGGGGAAAAAAATCTGCCTTTGCCTCCCAGCATCCATTCGGTATTCATCTGGCCCGTTCACTGTGGCTCATATGGCGCTGCTGTGGCCCATTCTCCGCTGCCCATTTGCAGCCACCCATTTGCCACTGCTGCGGCCCATTCACTGCCACCTGTTTGCCACCGCTGTGGCCCATTCAGCAAGGCCCGTTCGCCACTGCTGTTCCCTGCCACCTGGAACCGGCTGAAAATGCGATGTACAGAAGCCGAAAACAGCCGAAGGGTGGGGGCTGTTGGGTGGGTGGGGCTTCAGCAACATTCAGTGTATAAGATGCACCGCAATTTTCACCCACTTTTGGGGGGGTGGGGAAGTGTGTCTAATACTCCAAAAAGTATGGTAATTCTAAGAATTAATGTACCTGTCCCAATAAAGTCTGATTAGATAGACATATCTGGGATTTTCATTCTGATTATTGAGATTGGGATTGTTAATGCCCCAATGTGCTTTTTCAAAAAGCAATTGGACTTTTTTTGTTTTTTCTTGAAGACGTTTCATTTCTCATCCAAGAAACTTCTTCAATTCTGACTGAATGATGGAGAAGAGAAGGATTTATACTTCTTGCAGTCATCTGGTTGTTAGCAGTCTCCAAGTGGCCTCAGGATGGGTTGAAACTATCCAAATTGCCTCAATCCAGAGAGAGGATTAATGACCAGATAACTGCAAGGAATATAAATCCTTCCATTCTCCATCATTCAGGCAGAACTGAAGAAACTTCTTGTATGAGAAGCAAAACATCTTCAAGAGAAAAAAGAAAGACAAGTTGCCTTTTGAAAAAGCACCTTTGGGACAACCATGACCTGGACGATTTAGACTCTCCATACATGGCCAAGTGCATCCATTCAAATGCACTTTTTTTCTTTTCTTTTTCTCACCTCTCTGTCTCATCTTGCTATATTTTTCTTTAAAAGTTCCTCCCTCCATCTTACAAAATATGTCTGTATGCTGCTTGTGGGAATGTTTTTGAAGTGCTTAGATATGTGCTGATACCCAAGATGAAATTCCTTCAGTGTGTGGTACTAAAGTTAAATCTGTGTTGTCTGCATCATTCACTCAAAATGCCTTGAAGAGTTGCTTCGCTGGATTGATGCAGGACAAAGCCCATTTCTACTACTACCTTAGTTAGGATTTCCCATATTTTCTTACAATTTAATCTGCAAATAGGGTCAGGAATAAATTGGTTAAAGAATGGTCAAGGAATTAAATGTTAAGGTATTGTTGCTTTAATGATTATCAATAACTTTACAATCATTGTTAGTTACATAGCAATTATGTTACTTTGTAGAAGAGTAAAATTAATTTTCAGATTACTAGATCAGAGTCCAGATTGTCACAGCAATTTTACAATCATTCTAGAGAATTGGCAACATGGTGCCCTGGTGTACCCCATACAGATCTACATTCCCCAAGGTACATAAAAGTCCTGCTACTTCCTTGATAAGTAATAGCAGCCTCTAATTTGGGGAAGTAGGTCAATGGAGGTACATTGACCCTGACATGATTATTTTGCCAGTTCTTTTAAGTATTAACAATTAAGTATTGCAATTCATTATTTGTTCTTTGACCAAGTCGAACAGCCAGTCAGAGGTGCTGCATTGAGAAAAGATAAGCCAGCTTGGATCCTTGAGTAGAAAGTCATCAGGAAACTTCTGTGCCGGAAAAAAATCAGGAAAGAATAATTTAAAAGTGATTAAGACAAAAAGGTAGAAAGCGTATAACATTTATAGCAAGGTTATAGAAGTGTTTATACACGTCATAAAACTGTTTAAACCTGCTGAAGTTCATTGTAAGTAAAAAAAAAAAGTTTCATATAATGCCTAATTATATCAGAAAGGGTGAAAATAACTTCTAAAAGTGTTTAAATAACTTTGTTTTAACAAATTCACAGCAGAAACTATGATGTTTAACCATAATAGCTATGAACAGAATCATGAGACCTTGAAAGTATCTTCATTAGTAGCTTCAAAAGGACATTTGGCTTTCTGTAGATGGTACTGTTAATGCTGAACTAATCGGGGCTTTGACCTGATCCAGCAAAAGATATTCTTTCTTTGTCTCTGTATTTTACTGCTTACAAAACCTGTCCTTGTACTGTTTTATAGTATTAAATTGCTCTGTTAATAGTTAATAGCAATAACAATAGCAATAGCACTTAGACTTATATACAGCTTCACAGTGCTTTTATAGCTCTCTCTAAGTGGTTTACAGAGTCAGCCTATTGCCCCCAACAATTTGGGTCCTCATTTTACCCACCTTGGAAGGATGGAAAGCTGAGTCAACCTTGAGCCTGGAGAGATTCGAACTGCCAAATTGCAGTCAGCCTGCAGTCAGCAGAAGTGGCCTGCAGTAATTGCACTCTAACCACTGTGCCACCACTAATAGACAGCTTCAAAGTATAAATGACTCTACATTCGTAGTACCTGATGACTGAATATCATATAAATATATATTTTCTTTTAGTATCAAAGCATAGTAATGTCAGAATACGTACTTCTTGTATTGTACATATCCTGTTCAACTTTCTTAAAATCCACACTCTAGATCAATGTTTTTCAACCTTGGCAACTTTTAAGACATGTGAATTTCAACTGCTGACTGGGGAATTCCAGGAGTTGAAATCCAAACATTTTAACCTTGCCGACGTTGAGAACATCAGTTTCTCTGGATTAAAAGATCCTCACAGCTGGTTTTGAACATCCAAGAGAATTTGGGATTTACATTTTTAGTACCTCAGTTATCTTGTTGCATTATTCTTAAACCTAGTGGAAATGTCAAAGGCGGTATAACTTAAACAGATTTGCCCAAACAGGTGTCCTCAATTAGTATCAGAAGTCCTATGTAACAGAAAGTACTATACTGGAGAAGGTTGAATTATAAAATGGGACTCTAGTATTTATAGAAATCACTTCTAAAATTTCTGAGCCTTAGTGCATGCTCAGATTGGGCTAAGCCCACCCTGCAGTTGTTTACATTTGTGTATCAGTCACAAGGCAGTTTATAACAATTAAAATACGAACTGTAAAACATTAATATATTAAAACTATAGAACAGAATCAGGAACATATGCAGTCACTGTCAGCACCACAGGAAAACTGTCACTGTAAATCTTAATAAGATGATATATCAGAGGAGAGAGGCTTTCCAACAAATTATTTGGCACTATGCTGTTTAGGATTTTGTAAATCCATACCAATAACTGACTAATACAAGTAACCAAGAATAGATATAACATAGTTCCATATTATCTAATGCTTTTGGACTATCCAAAACAATCCCATTTTACAATAATATAGACATTATCAAACCATGGATCACTACATACAGGTTAACTAAAGATTGGGAAGTGAAAATAGACATTTGTAGGAGCAAGGTGTAATGGCCTTATGAATATCTGGGGTAAAATTTTAGTGTACTTCATTTATTTATTTATTTAAGAAACTGTATATGGCCTCTCAACTCACTCTCAGTGACCTCAGTGGCTTACAAGGATAAAAGTCCAATACAAAACCAAAAAAAAAAAAAAAAAAGCAATAAGCCCCCTCCCGGTGGCAACAATCAAATGAACTGTTTGATGGCTCTGTCCCATTCTGGGATCCCCAGGCCCATTGGCAAAACCGGATCTTCAGGATCTTGCAAAAGAGTATCAAAGTGGGGACCGATCTTATGCCATGGGGATGATGTTCCACAGGGAGGGAGCGGCTATGGAGAAGGCCCTTCTTTTTGGTTCCGCTAAATGGACCTCCTTATTAAATGGGATCTGTAACATTCCCTGCTGTGATGGGTTGGGTCGATGTGGCTGGGAAAAGATGGTCCTTAAGATAACCTGGTCCCAAGCCATATGGGGCTTTGAATGTGACAACCAGTACCTTGAATTGGACCCAGAAACAAATCAGTAGCCAATGCAGCTCCCTCAGAAGTGATGACACATGTGCATATCTAGGTCTGCACAAAACCATGTGGGCTGCTGCATTTTGAACCAACTGAAGCTTCTGGATTCTTTTCAAGGGCAGTCCCATGTAGAATGTGCTGTGATAGTCCAGATGGGAGGTGACTAGGCCATGGGTGGCTATGAGCAGAGATTGTTGGTCCAAGAAAGGACGTAACAGGAGTACAACTAGCCATTGCACAAAAGCCCTCCTGACTATTTTTGTATTTTTGTTACAGTACATAAAGTAATTTTAAGAGTACTTTTAAACTGCACTTTAGGAATTAAATTTACTTCTAAAATAATAAACAGTAGTCAGTCCCAGAGGCTTCCCACATCAACTTTCATTTTGAAATGCAGACGCGTCCTTATGATATAAAACCTTATGACATTTTAATTAGGAAAATAGATCATGCAATTCCATACGATGGAATAAATTTTCCAAGCACTGCTGCTTTGGACTACTGCATGTTCTTGTAAATTGGAATAAAAATGCATTAAACTCGTCTAAATTAAATCAGTCTTAAGGTAGGGAGAGGGCCGGAAAGAGAGAAACTTGTTTTTAATTTATAGATGACCTTTCTTATACTTTAAATCTGGGCAAGGGAATATTTGTGTGCAGAAGCAACTGCAAGGTGGTGAAAAGCAGCTCATCCTTTTTTTGATGAGCCTTCTGAATTTGTTCATTTTATGCTGCAGGCAAAGGAGAAGATAGTGATATTCTCAGCATCAATGCAGATGCATATGACAGCGACATCGAAGGACCATGCAACGAAGAAGATAATCCAGATGTGCCAGAACGGACGGTTGGAAGCGGAGATGGTCAGATAGATGACCTTCAGAAAGACATTGAGAAAAGCGTCAACGAAATCCTGGGACTTGCTGAATCCTCCCCAAAGGATTCCAAGGCAGCAGCTTTAGCAGTTCCTCCAACAGATGATGTTCAGCCATCAGCACAGCAGCTGGAACTCCTGGAGCTTGAGATGCGAGCGAGGGCTATTAAGGCCCTTATGAAAGCTGGAGATGTAAAAAAATAGCCGCAAGGCTGTTTCATTTGTTAGATAGTTGGATTTGCTCTGATGAGTGTAGGGTCAGCTTCTTTCCACTCTACGGTCTATTTGGACTAGTTTTGACATTCCTCATTCAAGCCCTTTGGGTATTCTAGCTCATAGCTGAAATAGTTGGCAGCGGTTTATCAGGACCGTCAGTCTGCTTGTGTGACTTATGTAAATGGATTGGTTTGATGCTGGGTTTTTTTTTTCCCCAGCTGTCCTTTTTTTCCAGTCCAGGTTAGATTATTTCCCAAAGTGAATTGGAAACCAGAGTCAGAGGCAGTATGGATGCAGCTAAGCCCTGTTGCTTTACAGATCATAATAATCCCAGGGTTAGCTCTAGCTTTTGAGAAGTTGAAGCTTTGGTTGCTTTTAGGTAGTAGCTATAACTGCAGGGAAGTAAAACGTAGAAGCACCACACTTTTAAGAGAGTACAGACCACAAGAATATCTTGCATCATCATCATTTATGATGCTTTGTGATTGCTTTGGTACCAGCAACCAATGTTCATAATTCTATGGTTTGAAATTAAATTTAATTCATGTCCCTCTTAATGGTGACTTTGGAAATCTGTGTGTTATCTTAAATTCTATACAGGCGGTCCTTGCATAATGACCACTTGCTCGGTGACTGTTCGAAATTACAATGGTGCTGAATGAGGGGGACTTATGACCAGTCCATGAAATTACAGTCATTGCAGCATCCCTGTGGTCATGTGATCATGATGTGGGTGCTCAAGAACCTGGGCGAGCTGCAGTCACACATGATCGCCATTAGCAACCTTTCCTGCCAGCTTCCCACAAGCAAAGTCAACGGGGAAGCCGGCAGGGAAGGTCACAAATAATTTTGCAAGTTGCTCTTGCTGCTTTTTCTCCTGAGGAACCCCACTAGGGAGTATGAGATATCAGGGATTTTGTACTCCATAGCATTCCCCCAACCACCCTCTCCAGTGCCTGCTCCTAGCTCCTGCTAGGCAGCCCATTTACTTTCTGGTGCCCACCTGCAGTACCCTCCATGCTCCTTACCTGGGACTCCTGCCTCTTCCCACTGAATGACCTGCATAGTCATTAAAGGTTACATAGGGTTACAAGGGCAACTGGGATTACTAGGATTGTCATCCTAAATGATGTCACATGATGTCACACATTTAGTGATGGCAATACCAGTCCCAATTCCTGTCATAACCCTATAAAGCAGCTTTTGGTGGCTGAGAATAGATAACTGTGTAAATTGTAGAATATAAATTGATAGTTAAATATAAACCTTTCAGCATGGCTTAGATTGCATAATCAATATGATGAAAGTAAAATTTGAAACTCAAAGGATGCTACAGAGGCACCTGACTGTTAGAACAAGTGATACAGAAGTACTTAATTTCTTGACCTGTAAGGTTCTTTTCTGTTCTTTATCAGTAATGTTTTGGAACTTCTCTTTGGCAAAGCGAAATTATATTTACACTTAGTTTAGAGGGAGTTGTGTTTCTTTCTTAAATATTTGGCTATTGTGAACTATAGAGAAGAGTAAGGCTAGATGTGAAATATTAAAAAAAAAGAAGTGATTTTGTTTGAACATGCAAATGCTTTGTAATTCTTTGTTCAGGGTATGAAGCACAACAGTTTGAAAACACAGGTGGAAAATCAACATGTACAAATGACTGGCAATAAATTGATTTCTTAAGTGCAGATTCGGGACTTTTTTTCCCCAATAAAAATGTTTGGGTCTAGCTGCTCTATGTTACTGCAAAACAGAGAAGGAATGAAGACAGACTGGTCAGGAAATACCCATTTTATATTACCCTGTATTCTCCCATCTTCTTAAGCCTGGTTATTTTGCTTACAGGGGAAAAATGAAGATAATGGAATCAGGTAAACATCATAAACTGGAGTAAAGAGACAAAGATGGGTCGAAAAGAAGGAAATAGGTTTATTTCTCTCCTAAAGTGTGTAGGGCAGTTGACCGAGGGAGAAATCTAGGAGAGGAATGAATAGAAATTGACCCTCTGGTGTTTCAGCAAATCCTGCCTTTAGTTTGCAGAAATGATCAGGGAGCCAAACATATCAGGGGCATTTAGAAGCCACGTTTATGGACTATAGTTTTAGGTAACGTTGGTTTCAACATTTGAAATTTAAAAAGTAGAAACCTCTGACTAGGGAATTTCAGCTAGTCCTTGTGAACAATAGAAGGAATCACATAAGCATATGTGATTGGAATGGTTTCATAGAGATTAGGTAAAAGGTAAAGGTTCCCCTCGCACATATGCGCTAGTCGTTCCTGACTCTAGGGGGTGGTGCTCATCTCCATTTCAAAGCCAAAGAGCCAGCGCTATCCGAAGACGTCTCCGTGGTCATGCGGCTGGCATGACTCAACACCAAAGACGCACTGAATGCTGTTACCTTCCCACCAAAGGTGGTCCCTATTTTTCTACTTGCATTTTCTACGTGCTTTCGAACTGCTAGGTTGGCAGAAGCTGGGACAAATAACAGGAGCTCACCCCGTTATGCGGCACTAGGGATTTGAACCGCTGAACTGTCGACCTTTCGATCGACAAGCTCAGCGTTTTAGCCACTGAGCCACCATGTCCCTACTCATAGAGTTTAGAATTACGTTTTTTTATTAGTTTTGGAAATATAAAATTGGTTTATATTTGTTTTCATGTAAGACTTGTTTGGAAAACAATGCATTCATTAAAAACGAAACCTAAACAATTCAAACAATTCGCTTCTTAGAAATATGTAGTAGGAGTTTAGGACTATTTAATTTTGTATTTGCTCAGTGTTAACATTATTTTGGTACTTAATCACCTGATTCGTGAAAGTTTTTTTTAATGAACCATCTAAATAATATTTAAGCCTTAAAGCTCGTTATTGTTAAGTACTTTTATTGCAGCATCTTCTTTTATGCAACTATATATTAAACAGTTCATGACTTTGTTTTTTCAAAAAGTCAGGTTTAGACTCACTGATGTCTAAAAGAATACAATGAGTGGGTAACCTTTTCCTCCTAGCTCACAGTGCTTCCTACTTTTACATTTACATTTACATTTTGTTTCTATATCACTGGAGAAAGCAATTTTTCTTGGAAGAGTTAGTTGTAAAAGGAAACTAGGCCATCAAAGAACACGGTGGCTGGACTCCATCAAAGCTGACACCAGCCAGAGTATAAAAAATTGAAAGAACTCAAGATTGGAAGATGTGGAGAGTTTTGGCCCATAGAATCACCAAGAGTTGGACACAACTGAATGGATAACACCATCATCATTTGTTCCTATGAGGAAACAAATCGCTTTTTCCATCCCATAACCACCATCATTATGTGTAGTAGTATTATAAAGAGTATTGGAACCAGATTGGCTCCTATTTAATTAAAGAAAAATTACACACAGTGCATCTTATCTATTTTACAGTGTATCACATAGCAGAAGATACAGCTATGGATCTTGACCTGGGAAAACAGAACTGACCAAGTTTGCAGACGATACTAAACTATTCAAGATCTCAAAAACCAAATGTGTGTGAGAAGAGTTTTAGAACAATCTTATTTAAATTGAAGAATGGTTAATCGAATGGGAATACAGTTAAATTTAAGTAAGCGTGAAAAATGATCGATGAAATAAAATGCCCTAATGGTATACACACATGTGACGGGGTCCAAGCTCTCTTTTTGTCATCCTGGAGAAAGCTCTTAGGGTTACAATGGATGGCACAACATATCAACTCAATATCTGGCAGCTGTGAAAAAGGCAAATTCCACAATAGGAGTCTTTAGAACGGGCATCAAACTCAAGGCCCAGGGACCGGATCCAGCCCACAGGGTGCTTAAATCTGGCCCATGGGGCTGCCATGGAAATAGCAAAGGACCGGCCCGTGGTGCCTCTGTCAGCAAAAATGGAGTTTGGGAGGGCTGCGAGCTCCATTTTCACTGGCAGAGGGTTGCAGGAGGCTGTTGCAGCTGAAAACGGAGCCCAGGGGCCCGTTTTCGCTGGCAGAGTGCCCGGGCTACCACAGGTGCCCCCAACACGAGTGACATTGAGTTGGCCACACCCACATTACCCCCATGCCCCCCCAAGTCAAACACAATCCATATGCAGCCCTCAATGAAATCGAGTTTGACACCCCTGCTCTAGAAAATTGTCAAAATTGTCGTGCCTTTTCAGAAAGAGACGATACATTGCATCCAGAATTCTGTATGCTGTTCTCAGATACCACATTTGGGGGGGTGGGGGGGAGTGAAATAAAGTACAGAAGAGGGCAAGCAAAGTGACTGAAGGCTCAATACTCTTCCGTGAGAAAAAGCTAGGATGTTTGGGTCTCTAGTTTAGGAAACAGCCAAGTGAGGGGGAATATGGTTGAGATGCATAATATAATACATGCTGTGGTGAAAATGGACAGTTTTGCCTCCTCTCTAAACATGATCCATGGAGTAATTTGGAGGGAGGTTGAGAGCAGACAAAAGAAAGTATTTCTTCGCTCAGTGCAAACTTAATTTATGAAATTCACCATCACAAAACTTGATAAATAACCATTAAGTTGGGTCGCTCTAAGAAAAGATCAATAAATTCATGGAGAGCATGTCTATCAAGGACTACTAGTTTTGAGATTCAGGTTTACTTTGTGGTTGAGAGCAGTTTGCCTCCCAATATTAGTTGCAGGGTGCCTCCCAATATCAGTAGGAAGTATGTATCCATCTCTTATTTATCATCAGTTGAGACACATCTGCTTAGCCATTGTGAAAAATGAAATTCTGGACTGCAACGGATATTGGGCTGGTTCAGCAGGCCTGCTCTTCATTTCTTTCTCAAATATGGAATTGCAATAATATAGAGCCAATTTGTTAAGACACCAGGCTAGAAACTTGGAGACTGTGAGTTTTAATCTTACCTTAGCCATGAAAGCCAGCTGAGTAACCTTGGGCCAGTCACTCTTAGCCAAACTCATTTTAATTAATATAGCAGATTTCTTCTCTAAAGGTGCTGTAATGTCCATGAGGACATGCTAGTAAATCAAAACGGTTCCATCAGAAGAATTTGTTTTGTTGGACTTACAAAAGAGGCTGTTTAAAATATTGGAGAAATTCGTAACAAGGATAAACCATCTGAATGGAATTATAGACCAAGACCGTTGTTGTAAAAAGAAGGAACACAACGTTGGTTTATTTAACCAGAATTAAAGTGGGACATGTTCTATTTTGGGCGTTTCTTTTTGGATTTGCTGATATCTGGGCTACAAATATGTTGTGTACTGGATTTGCTTACATTTAATATGGTGTTTAACATTTTCCCTTACAGTTACTTTATATATCTTAATTTGATTGCATTTAAACTGGCTGTGCATTTAAAAAGTAAAGAAGTTTGGAGAACTTGCTCTTTCTAAAGGAAAAATTATCCTTCTTTGTTACGTTAAATGTTAGGGTTTTTGTTCATATTAGGGCACTGGGATTACTTTTACCTTTGCTAGATGTGTTTATAATTAGGAACCAAGACATGGAATGATTACCTGAACGGGATATGTTGCTATCTGGAGGGATTCTTTTCCAAAACTGTTGGCATTTGGAATGAAAAAAATGTGTACTGAGTTTGTTTACAGTTAACATGGTGTTTTCCCTACAGTTGCTCTAGAAGAAAAGGATGTTTGTGAGATTTTTTAAAAGGAAAAATGGTCCCTCTTTGTCATTTTTAACTGTAGGTGTTTGTTTGTTTATTTACAATAGGATTACAGGACCACTTTATGCCTTTTAAATGTGATTTTGCTTACATTTAAGAGTTCAAATGTGGAATGTTGAGTTTTATATATGTTCATTAAAATTAATATTTTAGAGGTCTGTTTGGATTTTGGGGCTTTGGAGTTTTTTTGCTGGCACCTGGATTGGAGAAGATGTTGGATTTGCCTACAGTTAAGAGATGAGTGATGGAATGAAGAAATTTATATTTGTTAATTAAGAGCAGGTGAAGAGATTATGAAATTGTTTATATTCAATGTGATGAGAGTGGGAAGTTGATTCCTTGGAGGGGGTTCCTTTTCCTTTTTTAGTTTGCTATTATCTCTTACTGTTGTAACTAAAACCCTTTATAAAAATTATTTTTAAAAAAAGTGCACCACACACACACAGAGATTTGTACATGTGCTGTGGATACCAGCCTACATTAACAATTCTTCAAACTGCCAGCCTCATGCCAGCTAGTTATTCAACCTTCAGTGAGTCAGGGATGTCATTTGGTCATTTGCTGAGACAAATTACCCAAGCCTTTCTTTCTTTGCTGGAAATAGAAAAATGTGACGTCTTTTTAAACAAGAACAGCAGCTACAGATAGGGCAAAAAAATGCTGTCTATCTCTTCAGCAGTCTCAGTACTAATTTATAAGAATTCTCAGGAAATGGGAAGCCCAGGAATAATTAAGGCAGACAGAATATCTGTTTCATGAAACCGTTATCTCTGGAAAAAAAATAGGTAAAAACATATCACTAGGAACCTTGTGCTAAGTTTATTTTTAATTGTCTGTGCTAAAGTCTAACATTTTTATTCCTCTGTACAAATTAGAAAATTGAGTGTATTCCAGCCTTGCCTTCTATCCTTCAGGCTGACTTTAACTTTAGTTATAATCCTCTGGTCATGTGTATATTAATTTGCAATTCATATGTGGAAAGCTACCATCTAGTCCAGGTGGGTTTCAAAATCCATTGCTGCT